TTTCTCTACAATCCGCTGCTCTACTCGAGCGCTCTGCTCTGGCCGCAGTTTCTGCTGTCGTCGGCTTCTGCTTTGGGCACGCCCCTCACGCCAATGACGCCCAAATCGCCCGCCTCCATTGTGCTGGGGCAGCGCGATCGCGACTTTGCACTGACGCCCGAGAAGGAGCAGGAGCTGCAGCACAACAGCAGCCGCAGCAATCATGTGCTGCTGCAGCAGGACGAGGACATGCCGCTCAACTTGAGCACCAAACAGCGCGCTAGATCCGACTCAGAGCAGGATCACGATCACAATAGCAGCAGCAGCAGCAGCAGCAGCCGCAGCAGCAGCCTGAGCGGCGGCAGCCTCAGCCTGGATGAGCGGGAGCAGCCACTGCATCTGACCACGCCGCCTCCACTGAGGGCTGTCAATCTGAAGACTGCCAATGCTGGGACTCCCTCGCAGCAGCGTCGCTCGCAGGGCAACATCATCTGGTCGCCGGCATCCATGTGCGAGCGCTCCACGCGGCATGAGTCTGCTGCAGCAGGAGTGGCAGCAGCAGCAGCTGCTGGGGAAGACTTTGAGGAGCAGCAAGTGGATCCCATAGTGCGCAAATTCAAGTACGAACGTCGCTCGGCTGCCTCCATATCGTCAATGCAGTCGCCGCTGTCCTCGACGAGTGTCGCACAGGATCTGGACTTTGAGACGGCGCAGCAGCAGCTGTACGCACATCGCAGCGCTTTCATGGCCGGCCTGACTGGCAACAATCTGGAGCTGCTCACACAGCACCTCAAGACACAGCAGCAGCAGCAGCAACAACAACAGCAGCAACAACAACAACTGCAGCAGCAGCAGCAGCAGCAGGTTAAAGCCGAATCGGAGGCTGAGCAGGAGAGCAAACGTTCGGCAGCGGCGCTCATGGGTCTTGTGGCAGCCGCCGAACTGGGCTACATGCGTAATCAACACCAGCAGCAACACACGACCCAGCAACAGCAACAGCAACAGTTGCAGCAGCAGCAGCAGCAGCAACATCCTGATTCAACGGCCACAGATGTTGCGCGTCGTTCGTCCTCCTCATCATCGTACCAAGGCGAGTGCGAGCAGGAGAAGCGCAGCGGCAGAAATTTTCAGGTAAGCCAAACGGGAAGTTCATTTTTTCCACTCTTTTTTCTTGTCGTTGGTCAGAGTCGAATCAGAGCTAAAAGCGGAAGTGCAAGAGGCTGAAACTTAGAGCGAGTGAGAGAGAGAGAG